AGGAGTCTGCATAAGGAGACAATGCAGGCCTGAACAAATGGAATCAGATCTTCTTGCTCCTCTCTTATTACAGGCCTAAATGTGTGTATGTGTGTGTGTTTTAAGATTTGTTTATTTTTGCATACAAGAACTGGTACAGGCCAGCGGTGTGGGGGAGGGGAGTGAGAGGCTTCACCAGAGACAGCGTGGGGAGCAAAACAGGCAGATGTACTGAAATACAGTGCTGAGGTGAGCAGTGGACAGGTGAGGAGAGGTCTGACTATGTGGGTCAGCTCCCTGGCCGGGGATGGAACTCGTGCTGCAGCTATAACTTCGTAGTGCTGTGCTTTAACCCGCTGCACCAGCAGGCAGGGATCTAATTGTTGGTTTTTGTGTCCGCTTTCAGAATGGAGGTAGGTGAGGTTGATATGAAGACACCACATAAACAAGCAATAAAATGGATGTATTGCTTTTAAACAGGCTTTGCAGAACCTAAATCCAAATCATTGCCCCTAGCAAAGCGGTCCCTTTTACAATGATTACCTGCAATTATCTGAAGTCATTCCGACCTACCAACTCTTCAAACTGAGTGGAGTGGATTTTTACAAGCTGTTTGGAGACAGGATCAGCAGTCAAGTTCATGGCCCAGTTGTAGCTACAATGCCAAGTGACTCGTGAAAACGATTGCCTTCTGTGGTCATACACTGACCTTCAACTCATCCCCTCTTGAATTTACCTTCCACGTTGCGGGTAGAGTTCCTCACTCAAAACATCCAATTGGTATCATTTAACTACTTGAAAATAATCAGTGGCTTCCTATTACCTTCAGCTCCACAGCTCTTCCTTGCTACTATGCAGGGAAGGCTGGGATAGCTCTTGATGTCAGAAGTTTTGCATTTGTGTTTCATCTTATTTGCTGCCCCATAACAAAATTCTAGATTCTTGACTTTGCCAGATGTCACTTAGGAGAGAATGTTCCAGAATCCCTCCAGTCCTCTGCATAAAGGGCTCCCCCCACGGGGGACAGACCCCGTCAGCATGGCACTCACCTCCCTGCTCTAAGGCAGGGCTGAAAGAAGAGAAGGGATGGGAGAGAGATTGTATCCACACTCACTCGAAGTTTTCCTTATTTGCAAAAAGAGGGATTTTAGGATTTCCAGAGAAGTAAATGCGATGCATAGCAGGTGTTCTCCAGGCTGACAGGCGGCCCTAGCCTGGACTCTGGCAGCCTATCCTGGGGGAGAAATCTCAGCTCCGAACACAGCCCCACCGCGCCTACACCTCCTCACTGCAGCTACTCACGTGCCATCAGTTCCTTAAGCACCAGGCTCCGCTTCTTTGCTTTGCTTTCTTATTGCTCCCTCTGCCCGTCTCTGTCAAATACTATGTCACCCACTCTCTGCAGTCTATGTTGTCATTTCTGCTCACAGAGCTTTCCAGTTTCCGGTCAAATTTAATCTCCCTGGGTCAGCAACCGAGCCTTCCAGTTCATTTCAGAAACTCCCAGCCACCCGCAGTGAGCTGCCTGGTCCAGACTCACAACTAAGTGGCCAAAGAGCTTCATTGTAGTACGGCGAGGTTATTCTCTTGATTGATACAGCTTTCTGAGTTATGTGCAGTATAAAGTCCACAAGTGCTTTACAATCACTCTCGTTTCTTTGCATCATCTGCTAAGAATTTTCCAGGTTGTTTTTGTTTTGTTTTGTTTTTCCGGTAAAATGAAGAGATTAGGAAATGGATGAGGAACACACAAATATTGAAGACAGAGTAAAAGCTGGTTGCTGTTTGATTAATTTCCCTTCCTTCTTCCCTTACTATCTTCCTTCTTTCCACCCTTCCTGTCTCCCTCCCTCCCTCCCTCTCTTTCTTCTTCTTATTTTGACATTTGACTTAGTTAGCTACAGGAAAAAGTACACATCCTCCATGTAAGCTCTAATTTTTTTTTCACCGCAGCTCAGATCAACATGCAGAACACAAATCAACTGAAATATTTCTCAGATCCCCCCTTCTTTCAGCCCTGCACCCACTGCCACATCTGGGCCCAATCTCTTGCTAATCAGCCTCCCTTCCCTTTCCTAGTGCTTGACTCATGGCAAACATTCAAATCTTGGGAAGAAAGAACAATCCAACCAACACACTTAAGCAGGCAAGGGATGCTGTTCAATGAATGAGGCCCAGGAAAGAAGGGGGGGCACCTTTAGGGTTGTGTCCAATCTGCTTTGGGTAAACTATTTTAATTTGCCCACATCAGGTTAAAGGGTATCTACTGGAAAGTCAGGCAAGATTATTTTTTCTCTGTAGAATTTCAAAGGCAGGTGGAGGGAAGTTTGAGCTTCAAGGGGGCTCTCTGTTCACCTCCCGACCCCACTCCCAGGCCTAACTGGTCTGATTTTTTCCTATAGGCCTGGCGGGCAGAGGCCAGCCAGACCGCGGTGGGTCAGCAGGAGCTATCAGTCACGGTCGGGCGCGCACCAATCCCACCTCCTCTGCCTCCTCACCAGCCAATGGCGGCGAAGAGGGGCGCGGAGCGAGAGGGGGCGACCTGCTCAGGGGCGTATAAAGGGGATCCGAGGGCCTGGCGCGGCTACCACTGTGCTCCCAGTCCGGACTAAGTGTGGCTAGCGTCCCCTCCTGCATCTGCTCCCTGGGATCAGTGCTCTGTGCGCGCCCCTGGCTGGGCCCAGGCTCCTGCCGTCTGGGTTTCTGCCGTGCCCTGGTGCCAACTGAGAGGAGGGGGAGCCCCGAAGACCCCTTTCCCACTTGTAGGGGGCGGGGGCGGGCGGCTAGGGAGGGGAGCAGCCCAGAAGGCTGGTCCCCGCGGTCACTCCCTCCCGGAACCACCCACTGCCCTTCCCGAAACCCGTTCCTCTGCAGCCCCTTCGCGCCCGCCGCCTCCGGCCTGTGGCAGCGTTAATGAGGCCCGTCTGCAGGAGAGCCGGTGCCAGCCGGCAGAGCTCCAGGCAGACGGCCAGCCCAGCCGGGCAGCGAGCGCCGAGCGCCGAGAGGGGACTCCAGGCACAGCGGGGCTACGCTCCGGCCCAACCCTCGTTGACCCCCTGCCCAGGGTCGGGCCTGCAAACTTGGCTTCCCATGCTGGTGCCGGCGTGGTTCTGCTCTGCTGAGTCGGCGCCGCCTTCTCGCCACGCGGGTGTGGGTCTGCTGTTTGCTGCAAGCTGGGTCCCACAGAGGGGGAGGACACCCTTCTGGTGATCTCTCTGCGTGCCCCCTTCACTCATTCTTCGAACCCCAGTCCAGCCCCTGTGCACGAGGGGCTCCCACGGTCCTGGGACCCGGGCGCAGGAAAGCCACCCCTCTCCCCTGGCAGTCCCTCCCAGCCCCAGCGCGGCACCTTGGAAACTGCCGCGCACACTTTAAGCTTTCAGAGCCTCGGAGTGCCCCTCCGCGAAGTGGGCACAGAACCGCGCAGTCCACAGGTCTCGCGAGCCCGCTCCCTGGCATTGCCGGGAATCGCCGTTCCAACTCCTGCATGACTGAATTTTGGGCCGGGCGGGTGCGACCTCGTTGCTAGGAGGCTAATTTTGTCCCTCCGGTTCTTGTGGCCATTTAGAGGCGGAGGATGCAGGAGGGTAACCGGATGAAGCCGCATATATGTCCAAGATTTTCTGGGGTATTCCTCATTTCCCACCGTCACACTGGCCCCGAACTAATCTACAACTCTGCAGTATTAATAGCGTACTCTTCCCCACCCCGCCCCCGTTTTTAGAGTTGCCTTTTGCATTATTTACAGGAATGGGTTATGTACATTCATACGTAACAGTTTCCAGTTTGGCTACATAACTATCATTTTCTCTAATTACAGAAGCAGTCCTGTCCAATCTTAGATAAAAGTTATATAATGTAGGATGTGTTAACCTGCAGGGCTCGCCGCACACGGGACTCGCTGTTTTCTCACTGGCTGCGGACGGAAATTCGTGTGCCCACAGCGATGCGAAACTGGCCGGGCATGTCTAGCGTTCTGGTTACCAAGACAACGCCCAGTCAGGGTGTTGGAGTCAAGCGAGGAGCCCTAGGAGCAGGGTCGGTCCCGCCCCGGGGGCGGAGAAAGCCCGGCGAGCGGGATGCGGAGAGAGCGCGTTGCGCCCGCTGCCCGCCAGGTGGCACTCTAGGATCGCGGATGCGGGGCTGGGGCGGGGCTCCGGCGGCGGCGGCCCCGGCGAGGGGCGGGGCCGGGCCGGGCAGTGGAGCGGCGGCCGCGGCTGCGAGGGGCCAGAGGGAACTTGCTATTGCGGGACCTTACGGTGGCAGTTGCGTGGACTCAGAAAAAGTACGCGTTTGGGAACGAAAGGGACAAGGTGCGCGGGGTGGGAGTGTTGGGCCGGGGACAGAGGAAGGGAGTAGCGTGCCCCTGAAAGGCTTCACGCCTCCATCCTTCCTGTGCTGCCGGGACCCCCTCCGCCCGGCCCCTCCGCCCGGCCTGCAGTTTCCACCCCTCTGGAGCGCGCTGGGGTGCTGCACACTCGCCCGGGGCGGGGGCGGGGGGAGGCTAGCACCCAGCATCAGGCCACGGCGCTTGCTGGCCGCAGTGCCCAGGCTTTATGCCAGCCTAGGAATGGCGCTCCCCGGCATGCCGAGAAAAGCAGGCGAGCTGTTTCTTGGCTTGCCCAGAGGAAGCCTCACGCCCTTCCCTTCTGGAGGCTGGGAATGGAAAACATGACGCCGCGCGGTCCCCGGGGGCCACCAAGTGCGCACCCGCTTTGGCGAGCCCCTCACCAAGGATGCGCTGAACTTTAGGGGTACCCTCTCCGCTGCCCTCCACCCTCCCCCATCTGCGCTACCGGCTCTGACCCTCAGTCATACCCAGCCTTCGCCACCGCAGATGGGACTCGTGGTGTTAGTGCCCTGCCCCTTCACCGTGTGACATCCCCGTCCCCTGACAGCCCCCCCCCCCCAGCCACGGGATACACCCTGGCAGTTTGCTCTGGGCGGGTGAGCCGCAGCAGGTGCAGGAAGCGTTATTAGAACACGCCACACACTTCCCAGGCCGAGAGAGGAGAGACGGTGGGCAGGAGGCAAATGCAGGTTTATTAGGCTCTGGAGCAAGGGGTGCCAAAGGGCTGGTTATGGCCACTCAGCAGGTTCCCGGGCAGTGAGAGGGTCGGCTCAATGCAGGACCAGCCCTTGGCCTGCCAGAGCCCCTGGCTGAAGACCCTGGGGGCCACTGCGGGAGGACGTGGGGAGGCAGAGCGTCTCTCCTGCCCTTGGAGAGCCAGGATTGGAGAAATGGCCTGCAGGCAGGGAGATCTGAATGCACAGCCTTCATTTCAGCAACGACCATTTAATTTGTTCCTTGGCGGACTGAAGAACCTGAGCGGGGCAGGGTGCGAGAAAGAAATGGAGGGAATGTTCAGGCCTAAACGCGGCAGTGAGAAGCGGGGTACAGACGCCCTTCTCTGTGTCCCTGCTACCCCCGGCCACTAGGTGGCAGCAGCTCATCTCCGCCAGGCCTTGGACACAGACCGAGCAGCCCAAACTGGCTGCAGCCAGCTCCCAGGCCAGGCCCCAGCCTGCCCAGCTCCCAGCTCCCACATCTGCAGCCCGGGTGTGGCAGCGGGCTCGCCTGCCCCACTTCAGGCCCCTCCCGCCCACACTGCCACGTCCAGGCAGAGTGGGCCCAGGCCTGATACTTCCTGTGCCCAGATACCCCAGAAACCCCTGGCTCTGGCCTTGGCTGGGCTGCGCCCTCTGCCTGCCCCCTCCCCCCACCACCACACCGGCTGCTGATGTGGCACAGCTGGCAAAGGGCGGCTGGCCGGGCACTGCTGCCAACACCTGCATTCAGATGTGTTCACTTTCAGTCCTGCTGAGGAAACAGCCTCGGTCTGGTGTTTGCGTAAACACAGACAACTGTGCACAGTGAGGACCCCAACCTTGCCCCTCCAGCCAGCAAACCCCACTCCCTCCACCATGGTCCGGTCCACATCGTCCCAGCCTCCCGCACAGTCTCGCCCTGGGGTGAGATTCTCCCTTTTGCTTCAGAAAGTCCATTGAAAGTGCTGAACCTTCTACTTTGCTAACAGCCTCGGGGGCATTCGCTCATGTCATTCCTCCCACTATGAGGAGGGTCCCATGATTCTCCGCGGGCCAGAGAGGATGAGCAACCCGCCCACGGTCACCCAGCATGTCGGTTATCTGCTGTGCTCATCTCCCCTTAATCTCTTTCCACTCTGAACATTGTGCAGCAGCAATTCACCCCAGTGTAGGTCTCAGGGAGATGTGGGGACCCAGAGGAGAGGCAGCGTGAGCACCCAGGGTAGGCATGGAGAGTGGGCACCACACCTGGGCTCCACGTGGCCATTTTGGGCTCATGACCATTTGGGCCTGGGCACCCACAGCAGGAGGAGTTAGTGCCAGGGCTGGCAGCTCCATGAAAGCAGGATTAGTCTGAGTAGAGAGACCTGCGGGCAGACAGAACAGAGGTCAAGCATCGGCCTGACAGCAGGAAGTCTGCACAGCTGGGAAACCAGTCAGGCCACAGATTCAGGAACCCCCTTGCTCCACATGCACCCCCAGATAGGACCAGGGACTAGAAGGGGTGGAATTTCCCACAGCCAAGCCACTGAGGTCAGAGAGCAACTGATGAATGGAGAAAGTTAGTTCCTGTTTCAGGTCTAAGGGTCCCTTAAAGATTCTAATGTGAACCCTAAATAAGAGAGATTTCTGGGTTGGGGGAAGATCAAGGACCCGAGTCACCAGGTTGGTTTGGGGAACAAGTGACCCGCCACCTTCAGGGTGGGGGGCTCATACGTGCCAGGGCCTGAGGTGGGCTGCTGGGTAGCCCAGACTGCCCCACACTGCGTGTGACTCTCCAAGAGGTGGCCTGTCACTGCCCAGCCCTGCCCCACACTGCTAACTTCTCAGCCTTGACAGGGCCCCCAGGCCCTTATGATGCTCTGCTCTCCTTTCTCCATTCTGTTTCTGGCCACAGGAGAGGCAGGAGACCTACCTGGGCCACGCTCTGTTCAGTCAAGCCGCTGTCATCTGCCTGCGGGAAGCAGAATCGTGGAGTAGTCAGGCTAGGTGAGGGTTTTGGGTGCAGAGCGGTGGGAGAAAGGGGTGGGGGATGCAGTGGTTAGGGCCTGAGAACTGAGACCTGTCATTTGGAAGCCAGGACCCCTGGGGCCAGTTTGTGGCCCACAGAGGGTGAGAAAGTGAAAGGGAATAAAGCTGGAGGAAGAGCTTCATGCAGCCAAAGGCCAAACCAGGGAGAATCCAGCTATACCCCCATGCCCGAATCTCAGGGCTCAGGCAGCCAGCTAGTATCTCTCTGAGGATTTATTGACTCCCCCAGCCTGTACTTCTCACCAGTGTGGGTGGGGAAGCGTTTGATGATACTACCGTGGCAGAGGACAGGATAACTCATGTATGGCAGCACCCTAAAACTGCCACTCCCCCAAGAATGCATCAACCTGGTGACTGATTCTGCTATAGGAGCTTATGTTCCCACCACCTGGGCCTTGGCAACTCCATGAGCTGGGAGGATAGGAGATTGGGGGGGGGGGCAGGCTGGAGGAGGGGACAGTTGGTGGGGTGAGGTGGGGAGTGGGAACCCTCTTACCCTAAAATTCACTTTCTGGACCACTTGCTGGGGGTCACTCTCCAGAATCACTCTACAAGATGAGAGAAAAACAGGAGGAAAAGAGGTGGTCTGACTCCCTGCGCCTCTTCTCCCAGGGAAGCTCTTCCCTCCCTCCCCACCCCCCTCACCCCTACCCCTGCAGGGTTTCTCTGCTGTTTCAGGTGGGAACTCCCCCTTCCCACATGGGGCCTTCCTTCACTCTGACTCCCCTCCAGGTCAAACCCAGGTACCCACACAGTAGGCTCAAATGAGGTGACTTTGCTTCTAGAATAAAGGAGGGAAAGCAGAGACTCAGCACTCAGCTCTTGAAAATTCAGTTCACCTCCTAGGTCTAGAGGCCGAATCAGATGGGAGAAGGAAGCCCCATGGGTGCCTACCTTGTTTCCTCATTATCTCATGCTAAGCTACTCGTAAAGAAATGGGACCTCAAAAATCAGACTGTCTTCCCGAACATCGAGGCTTTTCTCTGCCAGCAGCACTCTTTGATGATGCACTGGGGGCCCTCTGTGGCTGTTAGTGGGGTGTGCCAGGGTGGGTTGAGGGTGCACCCTGTGGCTGGGGAGACCCCAGGACTGTGTGAGTCCTCACCCTGTAAGCTCTGCACTCACGAGTCCAGTTTTGCTGTAGTAGCAGGCCCAGGGAAGAACTAACATTTCTCGAGACCAGAGCCCCCCCCAAGTCCCACCTCGGGGCACCCTGCCCCCAGGCTCCCTGGCAGATGCGGCCTCTGGACTGACTTGCCCCCCATTTGCTCTGGGGGGAGCAGGGGAGGGGCAGTTTGTACAGCTGGCAGCATCCTCCCTCTCCCTGGCCTGTGAGGCCTACGCCTCATTTTGTTTGTAATCATGTGTGCGTCTGTTTTCCTTAAAGAGGGCTCAGCAAGCTGGATACACTTCTGGATCCAGAAAACCTGGTCTTGCTGTACTCACTCTGGGGCCCCAGCGGTTAGGACAAGGTCTCGCAGTGCAGGCGGACAGCTGCAGGCGGAGGGGCAGGGTTCGCCCAGTACCGGTCCCCCACCCACAACGGCTCTGCCACCCCTTCCAGGCAGGTGGGGAAGACGACAGGGGAGACAACCTCCAGGACAACGGCGTGGTTTGAGGCCTTAAGCTTGCTCCGTTCAAGCTATGTGGACAAGTCAGTGAACCCAGACCCAGAGCATGGAAGCACCGCTATGGGCTTGTGGGCGTCTCGGAGGGGTCAGTTTGCCTTATCCTTTGCCCTAAACTGGAGTTTTTCTTCTCAACAGCGCCTCCCTGTCAAGAAGGGCCCCAGCTTCCTCAGCATACACAGTGGGGGGGGGGGGAGCAGTCGCAATCTGCTTGCTGCTGGGTAGCCGCCCTCCCCCCCAGCAGCTCTCTATCCCCATGCGGTTGGGTGAATCTGTAACTACAGAATCCACAGATAGAAAAAAATCAGTGTAGAAGTGAACCCAGGCGGTTCAGCTCCGGGGTACTCAAGCTCCATAGCATACCTATAGGAAGTGGCATTTATTGAACAGGAATCACGAGCTTTGCCCATATCACCCCATTTCACCCCACGGCCCTGTGATGTAGTTCCCTTGTCCCCATTGAAAGATGGGGAAACTGAGGCTCGGGGAGTAGGTTGCTGGCCAGGGCCCTGTATCTAGTTGCGGATGAACAGAGCTGAGACGCGGAGGTGAGAGGCTGACAGGGCTCTGCCTGAATGAAGTCCTTTTGGGGAGCCCTGATGCTACCTGTGGCTCCTGGCGATGGAGCCAAACCATTCCCCCCAAACCCACCTCTTCAGCTGAGCCCTTGTGGAACATCAGGTTACTGTCTCGGTTGCTAACAGTGAAATCAACCTCCACCCTCATGAGCAGGGAGGGGACACACGGGACATGATGCGGGCAGCAGAGAGAAATTGGCCAGAGAGCCAGCAGTGATTGGGCATAATCCAGACCAAAGACCCCCAGGGCCTTTGCCTCCGAGAAGGGGCTGGACACCCCCTTCCCTCCACCCCTTCCTCACCCGCCATCCACGATCTCGTCCAGCACTAAGAAGGCTCCGTCCATGTTCTCCATCAAGCAGCGCTTCTCCACGTTCTTCCTGAAGGCAGACACAGCCTGGACCCCCACCCTCCCACCCACCCCCCACGCTGCCTGGCGGGACTGCCTCCTTCCCCTCCACCCCATCAGTCACTGGGGAGGAGACTGTCAGGGGCCAGGGCAGGGGGGGCGAGGGCCGCCCCTGCCTGAGGGATACCAAAGTCAGGGGCTGCTTCCTTAAGCTCCCTCGCCTGACCCCTGTGCTTTGGACATGGTGTGGCACTGCCGTGGCGCCAGGTACATCCCACAGCTAGCTGAGATGCAGCGGTGCGACAAAACAGTTCCCTGTGTTGACTGGGAACAGTTATTTTGGAGTATCCTAGTTTGGCTGCCCCGGCCATGCTGACAGATGCCAGATAACAAGGGGGCTGCTGCGAAAACCCACCCTGAGCCTCAAGTCAAAAATCTGAGTTCGGACCTTTGGTCCACTCCACCTGTGCCCCGGGCCAAGCCCTCAGCTTCTCTAGGCCTCATTTTCTGGCCATTGCCTCCAGGTGGTCCTTGTCTGGGTGCTCAGGAAAAGGGCCGCATCTGGGACGAGGCTGTCCAGCTGCAGTCTTAGTCTAGTGGGGACTTACAGAAGAAAGCAGGGGCACCAGGACCCCGCCTCTGTGAGGTAGCAAGGTCTGCGGGCTGGGGGCGCAGGGGGCAAGGATTGCACTCACCTCAACATGTAGTTCAGGGACTCAAACAGGCAGGTGAGAACAGCCATCAGCATTAGCTGGGTGTGGGGCAAGCACAGGGGGAGAAAACAACAGAGGTTGAGGAGTGTGAGAGGTTGAGGAGTCTGGAAGGCACCCGCAGAGCTGGCTGTGGGTGGGGCGGGCATGGCTTCCTTCTCAGAGAGGACAGGCCCAGAGGCGGCCTGCAGCGCAGCCCCCAGGCCACCTGCCATGAGGGGCAGGAAGCACTGCGGGCCCTGTGGGACATCGAGTGCACCCTCCTCTGTGAAGTTTAAGAGAGACACAAAGGCACCTGCATAGATCATGCCTCTGGTTCCCAAGGAGCCCAAGGGGCCTCGGGGATCCACACGGTCCAGACTATTCTGGCTGCAACCCTCCACCAGAGCCCAGGAGGAGGAGTACTTCTAGGTAAACCTTTAGAACCCACCAGTTCCCCCATGAACACCCCCTGCCCCCCCAGTCTCCTAAATTCACCTCATTTTCATGGGATGAGCCCACCACGTACAGGAAGAGGTCGATGCTGCTTTTGTAGACGATGGTCATGCCCCCGAAAAATGCGATTTCACCTGAAAGTGGAGGAGGCTTTCAGTTCTGGCCCCTCTGTCTGGCCTGACCCCTGCTCTTTGTCCCCAGCTCTGCACTCTCTCTGTTTCTTTCCCCTTTCCAAAGAACCCTTGAAAAGAACAGCACCTGGGACTGACCATGAGGCTATTCAGTGTCCTCCCCGCTCCTCCACCCGCAGCTCTTTCTAGCACATGCCTCAGTCAACCCAAAGCAAAGTTGACCTTCCGCCCACCCTTCCGCCACATGCAATGCCTTGGACCCGACCCAGGCTGGTGGGGGACCCCGACACAGGCTTTCCCACTGAGAGAGTGTTGGTGTGCTGGGGAGGAAGGCTGAGAAGGATGGGGAGGGAGGAAGGGAGAGGAGAACAGCTGGGAAGGAGAGGAAAGAGAAACTGAAGGAAAGGATGTGACTTGTGGGTGTGTAAGGCCAGTGGGACAGATGTGTCCAGATGGGGGAAGATGACGGTGTGCATCTGTGAGTTCTGGGGAACAGAGGCGGACACTTACTGTCAGTCCGGCTAGTCTTGTTGAAGACATTTTTCTCGAAGACCATCTGCTCCTTCATGGAGGGGAATGTGTCATCATAATACTAGGGGAAGGGGAAGGGGAAGGAGAAGGGTGATAGCCATTCACAGAGCCTGCCCTCTCCCTGATGGGTGGCAAGGAGTGGTGGGTGCTGGCCAGGGGGTCCCTGCTGCTGTGCCTCATCTCTGCACCACCCTCTAGACCTGGTCTGTTGTTTCCCCACAAACACAAACTGAGCAAAGAAGTAGAGACATGAGGGTGTCTTGCTTCTAGAGTCCTCTCCTGACCTGTGGAGGCTTTTGTACACTTGGCAGGTGTCCTGAAGCGGACACTAGGCTACGCTGGTTCGACACCAGCAGCAGAACACTATGACTCCTGAGTGTGTCTGGCCATCTTTCCGGACTCTAGGGGGACAGAGGGGACTTCATCACAACAAATAGAAGCATTGCATCTGCTTTTCTAACCCATCATGCAGGTGGGAAGCCGGGGCATAAAGAGGATCTGGAACCCCCGACTCCTCAGCCGCGACTCAACCCGAGGACATCTGATTTCAGCAAGGGTAAGATGAAGTTAAAATATTTAAGAAAATTTCTGGCAACTTTGCTTAACAATGTTTTTCTTGTTTGGGTTTGGTGAGCCTCTGTCTGACTCAGTTTCTTAATCTGAACATGAATGGTAGCTGCCGGAGGAGAACCTGGAGCCGCTGGCTTTACTCATCCATCCTGAGCATCTGCTTGGGCAAGAGTCAGCTCAGTTTTCAATTTCTAGCATGTGGAGTTTGCCCCTTAGGACCCTGTCTGCAGGCAAATGGGTCTCCTGCTGGCCCCTACCTACAGGAACAAGCTCATTTGAATGTCAAGACAAAAAAAAAAAAACGTTTCAGCCCCAATCTCTAAAACATTTCACAGTCAACTTAGATGTAAGGATTCTTCTATAGCTAAGTGTTGATGACAGACATGTTGGGCTATCCTAGTTTGGCTTACTCAGGCCAGCTCCCTGGGGTAGGTGAGAGAACTGAGTGGTTATACAGTGAAACCCCCCAGAACTTCAAGTCAAAATACCTGACTTGGGATCTCTATTCTGCTCTTAGCACTTGCCACCTCCACAACTCATTTCACTTTTCTAGACCCCAATTTCTTTATTTGTGAAAAGAGCTGGATTTTGTGGTCTCCAAAATCCTATCTGGTTCTAATTTCTTAGACTCCTCAGGCTAAAGCCTTAGTGTTTACCAAACAGTATAAGAAAACAGGAGTTTGGGGACTGGACTTCGGACTCAGGTCCCTTCCATATCTGCTCCAGCTGTCCAGGGGGTAGGAGGATAAGACATTTAAGGAGAAGTGAGTAGAAACATGAGAACCACTCCCCCTGCCCCCCCCATGACCTTTGCAGGGGTCTCAGCCAAGTTGCTTGAGTCACAGAGCTCACAGGGGAGTTCTAACTGGGGCGTCAGTTGGGTGGGGACCTCTGTTCTTGGGACAATAGCACAGTATTCAGGGACTCCCAGGTGAGGGTGGTAGGTTACCTTGGCCAGCAGGCGGTGTCCATCATTATCGAGGATGAAAACAGCCTTGACCGTGTAGAGGGAAGGTTCCTGCAACTGACACGGGAGAGTTCCATTAGCCCCAGACTCAAGGCAGACACCCTGACATTGGCTCTGTGGGCCCAGGATAACAACTCCGGGCTCCAGAAACCCACCCCAAAGGTCTAGGGCAGCGTCCAGCCCAGCCCTGTGCCACATGGACCAACAGCGTGCCTGCTCCAGATGTTCCACTACAGGCCCCGGGTGGGCGCTGTGCCCATTGGGTGCGGAAGGTCCGTCCGGGCCCAAGTTCTGTCATGCACTGACTGCTCCAGAGCCCGAGTCGGAGTGTATCACAGAACCTGGGCCGGGGGGACAGCGGCGCCGAACCTCCTCCTTCCAGCTGACCCCCGACCCAGGCTGGGCCCGCTCTCGCGGCGGCCCCCGAGACCCTGGCCCCGGGGACTCCGGAGCGCACACGTCAGCCTACGGCCCCTGGGAGCCGAGTCCCGCGCGGGCCGCCGCTCCTTACCGCTCCCAGCAGAGACTTGCAGTGACCCAGCTCCCGGCCATCCCCATCACTGCCCACACTGCTCCCGGGCGCGCTCGGGCGGCCCCTCGCGACTCGGCGCCCGGAGAAACTTTTCCTCGCCTGCCCTAGCAGGGCCCCATCCCTGGGGCTGGCCGGTGGCGGCACCAAGTTCGCGGGCGCGGGGCGCGCGATTTGTGAG